ACTTCGAAGACTGCTACTGGAACCAATAAACGAGTGGAGCTAGGTGTGCCGAATTGACCTTACCTCATTACTTGATGTAATGATCCGAAGGTGCACTTTGACGACTGTTACTGTAACTAGTAAAAGAGTAGCACCAGCTATTAAATGTAGTTTATACCTCTTATACCTCTATTGTTGTTTTAGATGCCAAGGCTTAAGACGTTTGGGAAAAGCTCCCGTAAGAAACTTCGTGCCAATAGACGTAATGCAGAAAAAGGAATACGGTTAGTGCTTATATGATTATTAAAAATATATGTATAATTATGAACATTCACTATCATATGATCCTTTTTCACAGGCAAAAGAATGAAAGCAGTTGTGATACGAGTATCGCGACTGACACACCCGAAGTATATCCGGAAAGAGATGAGCAAGCGAGTTGTAGTACTTTTGATGACAATAATTTGGAAATACCTCACGTAAGTTATAATGCATTTTAAATAATTACTGTTATGGTTTGTTTATTCAATAACTATTTTTGCACTGAAAATAACAAGTTATTTTTTTCTGTATTGTTTTTAGAACACGAACAATGAGGAAACAGAACCGTTCCAGGTATCAGGAAGAAGAGTCGTACAAATAGATTATTTTTTTAAACAGCTTCATGAAATCGGAAGCCATAGTTCCATGTTTAATTGTAATTTAGGTACTGTGCAACTTTTAAATGAAAGAAAAACTGGACTTCACTCAACTTTTTATATGAAGTGTCAAATGTGTGGCACAAATTTTGTATTAAAATCTTCAAAAGACTCAATAAATAAAATGGATGTAAATGAGGAAGTCGTAGCCAGTATTATGGCTATTGGCGCCGGAGTTACACAGCTAAACACGGTTCTTAGTCATATTGATATACCACCTATGTCGGTACGATTGTATCAATCCAAGCATGATATAATTTGTGGATGGTGGAGCAAAACCGCAGAGCACTGTATGGCAGAGGCTGGTAAGGAAGAGAAGAATCATGCCATGTCTATTGGAAGCATGAATGAGAAAGGAATACCAATGATACCTGTATCGGGTGACGCATGTTGGTCCAAACGTTCGTATGGAACGAATTACAATGCATCTTCTGGAGTTGGTGCTATTATAGGATTATTTTCTAAAAAAGTTCTTTACTACGGAGTTAAAAATAAGACGTGTAGCATCTGTTTACGAGCACACTCCAAAGGGGTACAACCAGCAAAATACAGATGTTTCAAAAATTTTCAGGGACCTTCTACTGCTATGGAATCAGTTATTATAACAGAGGGTTTCAAAAAATCTATAGAAAGTCATGGACTGATTTATAATCAGTATGTCGCAGACGGTGATTCTAGCACATATGCCAGTATCAGAAATGCCAGGCCTTATGAGAGTGTGACTGTGGGTAAAGTCGAGTGCAAAAATCATTTGCTCAGAAATTACTGCAAAGGGCTTTTGTCAATATCAAGTAACACCACATATCCCATTAGAGCCCGAAAAATATTAAAAGATAATTATTTGCGAATACGGTGGGGAATAGATAGTAGCGTCAAATATTGGGTCAAGCAAAACATTCCCTTTTCTGATAAAATGGAAAATATAAAAAATGACATAACGAATGGTCCTTATCACATTTTTGGAGATCATTCAAAATGTGCATCTTATTTCTGTAACGATGAAATCAAGAAACGCTCTGAAAATTTGGTGCCTGAACTGAAAGTAAATGGAGTGTTCCAAAAAGTTGAAGATTTGGCTCATCGTTTATCGTTTCACGCCTATAGCTTCGTACATAACGAAACTAATAACTTAGTGGAGAGCTTTAATGCCAGAGTAGCGAAATTTGTTGGCGGAAAAAGAGTAAATTTTTCGCAACGGCGATCATATGCTGGTCGCTGTGCAGCAGCCGTGATATTGTATAATTCGGGTTTATTACAGTCTACTGTTCATAAATATATTTTTGGCACTGAAGCCAACCATGAAATAGTTCAGTTAGAAAGCTATCGTCAACAATTAAATTTGAAAAGAATAGAAAACAATGTCAAAAAGAAGAAAGTCTTCAAATCTACCACTAATAGAGATGCTCATTATGGCGAAGAATGTCAAAAAGTTGACATGGACGATAAACAGTACCAATATGAAAAAAAAGAGTTTTTTGTTGAGATTAGAAATAACTCCTGAAGAAAAAGTCAAGATAGAACAAGACACAATATTACAAAGTGCCAGTGCTTTATGGTTGGAAACCAGAAGGAAGTTACTTACAGCTTCATGGTTTTCTACAGTCTGTAAACGGCGCTCAAACACCAATTGTGCACCATTGGTAAAACAAATTTTGTATGGTCGAGATTTAAGTAATGTACCATCCATCAAACATGGTAAAAATAATGAGTACACCGCACTACGCGACCTTGAAAAAGTGTTAAACACGAAAATTTTGCAGTGTGGGTTGTCAATCGATAAAGAGATTTCTTTTCTAGGTGCAAGTCCTGATGGAAAGTGTGAACACGGTATAGTAGAAATCAAATGCCCGTCATCGGCATATGAAATGGACCCAGAAGAAGCGATAAGACAAAAAAAAATCGACTTTTGGAAATATGCTTCGAATTCGAACCAATTAGTAGTAAACACAAAACATAAATGGTATTTCCAAATTCAAGGTCAACTACGAATTATAGGGGAAAAGACTTGTGTTTTTGCTGTTTGGACGGGCCCTGGAAAAATAAAATATGAATTTATAGCCAAAGACGATCAATTCTGGAAGGAGAATATGGAAACACATTTAATTCGATTTTATAAGAACTGCCTCCTTCCAGAATTGATAGATCCAAGATTCAAAAGAAATATGGAACTACGAGAACATTCTTCACATTGTTATAATAATGTAATGAAAACTAAGAATTGATTAAGATTTTTATTTGTTAATTAAATAGTTTAGCTTAATTTTTTTTTTTAGTTTTATTCATTTTATCATTATCTTGCTTCTGGCCCGCTTTGTACGACATTTTGCGTAGTGATACACTGTTCCTAGAGTATCAATCGATTTCAGTTCGAAAGTTCAACAATATCCACTGAGTTGTTTTTGCTGTCGTGCATAGGAAATATAAACGTTTATGAAGCAATGGAGTATATTGTGTGTGCGAAATAAACATATTTTCGTTCTTATTTCTTTTAGGATTATAGTTTTTAATCCTTTTTTTACTATCTTTACCATGCTTTCAGCTTGTCCGTTACTTGACGGGTGGTAAGCTGGTGATAACATATGATTTATACCGTTTAGTTTACAAAATTCTTTAAATTCTAATGATGTAAACGAAGTACCATTATCACTCACTATCGTGTGGGGCACCCCCACCCTTGACATGTAATCACACAATTTACTAATTACTGCTGTTGACCCGTAAGAATTTGACATTAAATAGCATTCTACCCATTTACTATATGCATCTACAATTATCAAAAACATTTGGTTATTTAGCGGGCCTAAAAAATCCATATGAACCATAGGGTTCATAGAACGGACTTGGGGGGTGTGGCCACGAAGCGAGCGGCGCGTGCGGCGGCGCGGGCCGCAGTGCAGTACACACGGAGCACGCGGCCGCCAATCGCTCCAGAGTTGCATCAATACCAGGAAACCATAGTCTCTTCCGCGCTTCAGCCTTCATTTGAATTATACCAAAATGAGAACTATGCAATTCGTTACAAATTGTTTCTCTGAAGGACTGTGGTATGATTACCTTGTGGCCACGCATTAAAACCCCATTTTCAATTGAAAGTTGGAAACGACAGTTGTGAAAAGGTTTTAAATTCGAATCTGTCACTTTCCGAGGCCAACCATGCATTACGTAACCTTTTACTTTGCTTAATAACAGATCGCGGTCGGTTTCCTGCTGCAGCGCGTGTAACGTCACCGGCAGGTTGCCCTCGACAACAAAGTTAACGTATGCAGCGGTCTCGCTCTCGCCGCACTTCTCGCTCTGTAACAGCGCACAGCCTTCCCTTACGACCCGCCCATCCGTCGGCCCTATTGATAACCGTGATAAGAAATCGGCACTGTTGTCGCTACTACGTATATATTCTATTGTATAATTGTACGCCGCTAGGAATATCGCATAGCGCTGGAGTCTATTTGCTGACACTTCAGGGATACCGCGGTGGGGTCCGAATATGGTTAGTAGCGGTTTGTGGTCTGTTCGTAATACAAAGGGCGAAGCACGGCCGTAAAGGTATTGATGGAAACGACGAACGCCGAATATTATCGCTGTTGCCTCCCTCTGTATCTGAGAATAATTTTTTTCCGCAGAATTAAGTGTCCGAGACGCATAACAAACGGGCCTCTCGTGACCGTCTTTACCTATTTGCGACAATACGGCCCCTAGCCCTGTTGGTGACGCATCGACTGTTAAAATTAATTTTGCATCTGGGTCGTAGTGCGTGAGCACATTTTCTGACGACAATATCGCTTTTACTTTACTATAAACTTCGTCTTGTTCCGACGTCCATTCCCACTTTGAGTTCTTATGCAATAATTTATATAATGGACTTAACAATGACGAAGCGTCTGGCACAAAATTTCTGTAATAATTAGTTAATCCTAAAAATGACTGTAATTGTGTTAGATTTTGTGGTTTATTTGCGTTCAAAATTGCTATTACCTTGTCGGGTGACTTCCTAATTCCGTGTCTATCTATCACATGGCCTAGATAGCATATCTCCTCCTTATAAAATTCACATTTATTGGGTTGTACTGTTAATCCTGCTTCTTGTAAGCGTTGCAAAACCGCGGTCAGCCGTTGTTTATGTTGTTCTCTGTTCTCGCCCGTCACTAACACGTCATCTAAAAAAAATACTACCCCTTCTAGCCCTGCTAGTACGCATTCCATAGCGCGCTGGAATATCGCTGGCGCTGATGAAAGTCCGAACACTAGCCTTGTGAATTTAAACAGGCCGCGATGAGTATTGATAACAGTTAAGTCCTGTGACGCCTCATTTAGTCGGAACTGATTATACGCCATGGACAGGTCTATTTTGCTAAACTGTACTCCGCCATTTAATTTTGCAAACAGTTCCTCTACGGTTGGTAATGGGTACTTATCTACTAGCCATTGTTTATTGATGGTAACTGAATAATCGGCGCAAAGCCTTAACCCACCATCCTTCTTCAAAGCAGGTACCACGGGTGAAGCGTATTCGGAGAATTTTACAGGTTTTAAAACTCCCAAACCGACTAGTCGGTCTAACTCTTTATCTATTTTTTCCTTCAGCGCAAAAGGCACAAGTCTTGCTTTGAAAAAAATTGGTTTTGAATTTGGCTTCATACGAAGTTCAACCGTATATTTATTAAATTCACCGAGCTTGCCAGAGAATACCGATGGAAATTGTTTTATCAAATCTTTTTCTACACAGTCGTATTGGGAATATACCGCATTAACTATGGGTACTAATTCCAAATTAAATTTTTGAATAAAATCGCGACCTAAAAGTGACGTACCGTTATCCCGTACCACATACAATTCAATGGTTTGTGTTTTTTTATTGTACAGGTTACAATAAAAAAACACAAACCATTGAACTCCGAACTGTGAACTCCGCTTTTTACGTGGAAGTGCTCAAAAGGCTCCGGCAGAGGGTCACTCGCGTGCGGCCAGGAATGAAAGACACGTGGCGGCTGCACCATGACAATGCGCCAGCGCACACAGCCTTCATTGTTAGCAACTATCTGGCCAAAGCAGGAGTCCCGCTGGTCCCGCAGCCTCCCTACAATCCTGACGTCGCCCCGGCAGACTTCTTCTTGTTTCCCAGCATCAAGTCGAAGCTCAAAGGCAAGCATTGGGGCACAATTAAGGACATCCAAGAAGCTACGACGAGGGCGCTGAAGGACCTACCCGTTGACGTCTTCCAGGGGGCCTTCCGGGCATGGAAAACTCGCCTACAAAAGTGCATCGATGCTGAAGGGTGTTATTTTGAAGAGTACTAATGTATGGTACCGATAAGTTCAATAAAAGTATTTTTCCTGAAAAATGTTCGATACTTTTGGGACGGACCAGATATGTTACAGGTATTTTTAAAATTCCGCGCGTCATGATTTTTCCTCCTGTATAACTGACTAACTTCTTGTTAGTGGGTGATAATGGTATTTTACTAAAATGACAATAATACATAACCTCCGACAGTAAACTCACTGCTGAGCCACTGTCAATTTGGAACTCTAAAAAACATCCACCGATATTCACCAACTCGACCATCGGTCTACCCTTCATGCAACGAATATTTAAAACGAACTCACCGTCGTCACCCGATTCCACATTACCTTCCTCAATGAATTTCACTTTATCAACGTATGAGCACATCTTCCGCAAATGACCCTTCCGATTACACTTTTTACACTTGTAATTTTTAAAACGGCACTGGATTGACTGATGATTATTATATCCACACACACTGCACTTATCCCCTTTGGAGATAGCGTATACGAGGTCCGCCGTTGGCACGGACGCGACGGCGCTGCCGGTGCCTTGCACGGCAGAGGCGGCCCGGCGGGCGCAACGCACACTTTCTGCCATATCTACCGCTTTTGCCAGTGTCAAGTCGGTCTGATCCTGCGCAAATAATTTGTCTCGCTCGTGACCTGCCACCATTCCCATGATGAACTTATCCAGCAAGGTTTCCTCCAAACTTTTGAATCCGCAGTGTGCCGCCAAACCTCTAATTCTAGCGGCCCATTGAGTGTGACTTTCTCTCAGACGCTGAGTTGCTGAGTAAAAAATTGACTTCTCCGCAAAACCGATACGTTTTGGCGTAAAATGATTGTCTAATAATTTCAATATCTCATTATACTCTATTTCTTCAACCTTATTAGGCAACGCCAGGTCATTTGCTAACTTATACGTTGACTCACTCAGCGCACTTAGTAAGATTGCCCTCCGTTTGATCTTTGCTTTGTCCGTTTCGTCCGTTATGTCGTTTGCTATGCACATGGCACCCGCGACACAGGGTTTCCCTAGTGCGGGGCTATGTTGAGTGTGTGCGTTATTCGGCATGCCTGGTAGGGTCCCACGGACCCATACATGCACTTTAGATTATGTCATTCATTCAAATTTAAAATACGCGCGTTATAGTCTTCAGTAGCTGACCGTTAGGAGTTGCTTGACGCCCTCCGCCCGCTACCTCAGTCCGGGACGCGCTCTCTTAGCAGTAAGACGCGTGTAAAGCGCGTGCGGGACTCACAGACCCGACCAGGCATACGTAGTGACTTTTTTATGTAAGTATTGACTAAGTTGTTTTTTTACATAATTTGAAGTAATATTCATACAAAATAGTAATTTTTTTGTTTTTTTATAGTTACACAATGGGGGATTCTCTGCGAGATGAAGATATTGCAAATTTCTTATTGGATTTATCAGAACAAGACGATGTTATTTATAATTCAAGTGGAGACGAGTCTGATCACGTCAGTGACTACAACAACAGCAATTCTTCTAGTTCGGAGGGGGACGATTTTGGACCAGGAAGTGCGGATGTTGTGGAAAATGATTCTGATTCTGAATCGGATGTGCCATTGTCTATGCTAGCTTCACATCCTTCAGGGAGAACCTATAAAGGTAAAGATAACACTATATGGTACAAAAATCCCGCTAGATATAATGTCCGAACACGAAGCGAGAATATTCTTCGAAACACTCCAGGTGTAAATCTTCAAGCACGAGATTCAAAATCGGCCTTAGAGTGTTTCAATCTTTTTATAAATGAAACCATGTTACTTGAGATAGTGACACATACAAATGCACGAATTAGAACAATCAGGCATGGTTTGAGTTGTTCAAACGAATATTCATATTCAGAAATTACTTTATGTGAATTGAGGGCAGCTATTGGACTCACTTATCTTGCGGGGCTTTATAAATCTGGAAGACAAAATTTACAAGATCTATGGTGCAACGACGGGACAGGAATTGCTATTTTTCCTATGACTATGAGTCTGAGAAGATTTGTATTTATTATCAACCATTTAAGATTTGATGATTCCAGTACACGTGAAGAAAGACAGTCATTAGATAAGTTAGCGCCATTTAGAAAGCTGTTCGAAGATTTTATAGCAAATTGTCAGTCAAATTACACACCTTTTGAGAATTTAACAATTGACGAAGAGCTGGTTGCCTTTCGTGGGCGCTGTAAATTTCGTCAGTATTTACCTAGTAAACCAGCTAAGTATGGAATTAAGATATTTGCGCTTGTTGATGCTAAAACGTATTATTCTTTGAATTTGGAAATTTATTTAGGAGAACAGCCACAAGGACCATACAAGGTCAGCAATAAACCACATGACGTTGTTGACCGTCTTGTAACACCTATTTCACAATCAGGGCGAAACATTACAATGGATAACTGGTTCACAAGCTATCAAACTTTTCATCATCTATTAGATCATCATAAACTTACTGCTGTTGGTACTATGAAACGTAACAAAACTTGCATACCTGAAAAATTTAGATCTGGAAATCGTGAAGAATATTCGTCTCTATTTGGATTTCAGCTAAATTTGACACTAGTATCCTATGTGCCTAAACCACGAAAAAATGTGTTTATGCTTTCGTCTCTTCACCATGACAATCAAATAGACGTTGAAACAGGTGTGAAACAAAAGCCTGCAATGGTAACATTTTATAATAAGACTAAAAGCGGTGTTGACAATGTTGATAAACTTATTCAGTCTTATGATGTGTCACGAAACTCAAGGAGATGGCCACTCACACTATTTTTTTGGATGCTCAATACTACTGGAATAAATGCCAAAATTATACAAATGTTAAATAGTCCTGAAGATAAGAGCAATAGGAGACATTTTCTAAAGACATTAGGTCTTGCACTGATTGAACCACATCTTGAAATAAGAAAAAACAACACTCGCCTTCCTCGCCAAAGTAGTTGCGACTCCATCGCTCACCCGCGTACGATACGTGCAACACGTTTTCTCTCCGCACAGAGACTGAGAATCGTTCGATCACATCGTTCGTGTGTGACCGGACGGAAATCGTACGATTAATAGAACGATTTTCTTGACTTAAAAAGGTAAGTAGATACTGCTAGTGCGTGCAAAATCTACGCCGGTTTGTGAAGTTCGCACAAGTCAAGGTCGGCGAACAGAGTGGCATTATTTTGCACGCACTCTACTCGTACCCGTTCATGAAAACTCAATTGATATTTTATTATTATTATTTTATTATTACTCCTCTTTATTTATCTTTAATTTTAGATTAGGCTTTTTACAATATGGATATAAAAGTAAAATACATATTAAATGAAATTACAAAACATAAACACATTATAAAAAAATGTTATTATTATTTTTATTTTAACTACACACTAATACCAGAAAAAGCCAGAAATTAAAAACTTTACTCTGAATGTGATGGTGATGGGATTAGAATAGTTATACTTAGTTTTATATCGTAGAAGTAATCATTGCATAATTTTAAATTATAGGAGCTGATGAAGTATACCAGTCTTCTTGGTTCGCTTTCAAATATTTGCAATTTCTGATGGACAGAAACAAGCCTCGCCCGAGAATTAATACTGTGAGTATCTTCAGCACAACCACATTATTACGTTTAACTTTAATTATTTTGAATTTAAAAAATCATTTTTTTATTAGGAGACACCATCTTCCCATTGTTACTGACCCTTCTACTTCACTATCAATACTACCTGGTGGTGCATAAAGAACAATGGCGAAACTTTATTTGAAAAATTTTTGAGCGTCTAGAAATGTCATTTAAGTTAAAGTAATTGAAATAATTTTGTACGTTTTTTCAATAAAACACATTTATCTGTAATAGACACATAAAAAATATGATTTTATTGAAATTTTATTTGATCATTTTGTGACTCGTCGCGCCCCGTACGAAACCCGCCACAGCGCATTTCAGTACTATTCAGTCATGTGTTGCTATTTGAAATTATTCTTCTATTTTAGCATCACAATAATGCCGTTGTCTATAGTATAAATAGTTCAATTTAACTATATTAAGCGAACAATAACAAATAATTAATAATTACGTACCTATTAAATTGTTATAATGATGTGTTCTCAATTATGAATCTACAGTATTTGTCTACATATTAAAAAAAAACGTAATAACCGGGGAACATATGAGTTAATGTAATGGCAACACCGAACTGAGCATGCGACGCCGACCGGCCGGCACGTCAACGCCACTGACTGATGCTCCCGCGCTTTGGTGTTGTGTTAGTGATTTCGATCATTTTATTCCATTTTCTTATATTTTCTCTTGACCCGGCCTACCTTTGGACTCAGATTTTTGCCCTGTGTGACTCGTGCGTGCCTAAAGGATTCCGATCTTGCCTTATATTTTTGGTTTCGTTGTGAACTGGTTTGTTTACTACCACCACAACGGGAGGATG